TAGTTAACCATTCAGTGATACTCCAGTCTTCAGTGTCACGTGATCCTTCAGAAATCACTCTAAAATGACGATTTGCTGCTCAAAAAACATGTATGATTATCAATGTTGAAAACGGATGTGCTGCTTCATATTTTTCAAGTTCAGATAATCTCTTGAAACATTATTATGTCTTCTAATTGAATTTAATTTGTCCTTGCTGAATACAGTTATTTGTTTCTTTAAAAATATCTGTGTGTGTGTGTGCGTACATTTTCTTAAAGGAGTAGTTCACTTTTCAAAAAACTTTTGCTGATAATTTACTCACCCCCATGTCATCCAAGATGTCCATGTCTTTCTTTCTTCAGTCGAAAAGAAATTAAGGTTTTTGATGAAAACATTCCAGGATTTTTCTCTATATAATGGACTTCAATGGGAACCAAATGGTTCAAGGTCCAAAAGACAGTTTCAGTGCAAATTGCAAACTGTTCAAAGGGCTTTAAACGATTCCAGACGATGAATAAGGGTCTTATCTAGTGAAACAATCGCTCATTTAATAAATAAATAACAAAGTTTAAGTTTTATAAGCTCAAATGGTCGCCTTGCTCTGTTCTGTGATGTTGTTCGTGACTCTCCTGTTCGAACTCGTTTATCAAAATGAACAAATATTTTTCTGAGTCATTTGGTTCATTCAATGAACTTAACGAACGAATTGACTCAGAAAAAGATTCATTCATTTTGATGAACGAGTTTGAACAGGAGAGTCACGAATGCGCATCAAAGAACAGAGCAAGGCGACCATTTGAGCTTATAAAACTTAAACTTTGTTATTTATTTATTAAATGAGCGATCGTTTCGCGTGATAAGACCCTTATTCATCGTCTGGTTTAAAGCCCTTTAAAGGATTAGTTCACTTTTGAAAAAACTTTTGCTGATAATTTACTCGCCCCCATGTCATCCAAGATGTCCATGTCTTTCTTTCCTCAGTCGAAAAGAAATTTAGGTTTTTGATGAAAACATTCCAGGATTTTTCTCCATATAATGGACTTCAATGGGAACCGGATGGTTCAAGGTCCAAAAGACAGTTAATAACTGTTTCAGATGCAGCTTCAAATGTCTTTAAACGACACCAGACGATGAATAAGGGTCTTATCATGCGAAACGATCGGTTATTTCAAAGCTTATTCCAAAAATGTAACTTTTCTAAGGACAAATGCTAGCCTTGCTGTATTCTGTGAGGCGCGTTTGTAACGTCACGTAATACGTAATTACGTTCAAAAGGTCACGGGCGACGTAGCCGTAAGTACAGAATCAAAATCGTCCGACATCGCTGTTTTACCTTTTAATTCCTTTTTTGTAAACGGCGTTTGAGTTAGTTTGCACGTTCAACCTATGCGTTCAACTTGTAAACACTCTGACTCTGTACTTCTGGCTACGTCGCCCGTGACCTTTTGAACGTAATTACGTACTACGTGACGTTGCAAACGCGCCTCACAGAATGGAGAAAGGCTAGCATTTGTCCTTAGAAAAGTTACATTTTTGGAATAAGTTTTGAAATAACCGATCGTTTCGCATGATAAGACCCTTATTCATCGTCTGGTGTCGTTTAAAGACATTTGAAGCTGCATCTGAAACTGTTATTAACACTATCTTTTGGACCTGAACCATCCGGTTCCCATTGAAGTCCATTATATGGAGAAAAATCCTGGAATGTTTTCATCAAAAACCTAAATTTCTTTTCGACTGAGGAAAGAAAGACATGGACATCTTGGATGACATGGGGGTGAGTAAATTATCAGCAAAAGTTTTTTCAAAAGTGAACTAATCCTTTAAACTCTCATTTGGACCTTGAACTGCTTGGTTCCCATTGAAGTCCATTATATGGAGAAAATCCTGTAATGTTTTCATCAAAACCTTAATTTCTTTTCGACTGAAGAAAGAATGACATGGACATCTTAGATGACATGGGGGTGAGTAAACTATCAGCAGGTAAGTTTTTTTTTTTAAAGTGAACTACTCCTATATATATTATTTAATTAATTTCATAATTCATAATTTGCATGCAGAAACATGCAGGCCCCTGCTGACTAGCATTATTTTTGTGTTAGAATAACAGCTAGTTTATTTAAAAAAAAAAAAAAAGATTTGAAAACTTGACAAATAATGATTAGGAAATGTACAATCACATGTATTCACGGTTTAAGAAAGAACTCAGTTTATCTGGATACATGTATGAATGTCCCATAAACCTGATATTAACAAGTATGAAAAAATGAGCTATTGACCGCTTCGATCTGGAGTTATGACTCATTTGGACCCAGTCTCTCTTTTCTTCTGGTTGCGTTTCATCTCTTTCTCCACTTCCCACGGCCTCTCCTCTCTCACTCTCTCTCGGTTCAGCGGGCAGCGAAAGGTGGAAGAATGGATTTCAAAGGCTATGCCTTTAACCCCACCTCAATATTAGTTTGTATTATTGTTATTGGCAGGCTGGTGGCGGCCGGGCCGCGGTGTGCAATTCCGTCTGGACTCTGACTGATAAAAGCTCATATGTTGCCTCTAGCCTGCAGGTCCGCATGAGGCACTGAACACTCAAATTTTGAAGCGATGGGGAGATATATATTTTTCCAGCACACAGAGCTTTATGGTTAAGCATGCTGAGACATCGGCTCACACGCTCGAGCTGTTCTGAGTGCAGAAATCCTCCGTATCGGCTCGAGCAGCTGTGGGACAGGTACAGCGGGACGTGGCAGGTGGACACGCTTTGTGCCGGGGTTGTGGGTTTCGTCTCGCTGTGCCCGATGAAAATGTCACAAGAAAGCTTTGTACGCTGATGACCAGTTACTCATTCTCTGTGTCGAGAACATCAGCAAAAGAACAGCTTTTACTGTGGACTACAGCAGAATTTAGAGTTGTGAATCCTGCTGGTGTTTTAGACGCTCATGTCCTTTTCTTGCATCAAATCTAGAGTGTTTTCTCTTTGATCCTTAAATCTGAAATGCAGACGTGAATGCTTGACCAATGCATTGAAAGTGTGCAGCATACAACTGTGGCTAGAAATGTCCAATGTGTTCTCATCGCAGGGTCTCATATAGTGACTATTTTGAAATTTCGTCTAAATCTGACACACATGGCACCCTTTAGTGTCAATATCACACACACACAGAGCTTTGTTTGGTTATGCGTAGTTTTAGGTCTGGGGTAGGGTTAGGATTAGACCACTAGGAGGCGCCTATCTGCGTCTCATAATGACGCTAAAGGGCGCCATGTGCGTTGGATGTAGACGAAATGTCAAAAGTGTCACTATTTGACGCCTTGGGATGAGACCGGGCTGGAATGTTATAGCTAGAAGAATGGGTAAAAGAGTAGCAAAACTCAGGAGCATGTAGATGTAAATTTGAGAACTTGTACAATAGATATTCGTACTTCGTACACTCACAGCTCCTAAAAAGTTGAATGTTAAGATTTCGAAGACAATTTATCCATGCAGTCCTATTGGAATCTATAGGAAGCTTATGCAGCGACTGTCTTCTTCCACAACCAGGTGCTGGACAATATTCTGTATTGCTCGGTAGCTCGATCCGGTGGGCGGGGCTAAACCGGCCGTGTTGAAGTAGGCGTCGATCTTCTTCTGCGGGGGTGGTGTTTTATCCTCTTTGACGTCATAGTTCCCCACTTTGAAAAACGAGTCGTTTGCTGAGGCTGGTGTCAATAAAAGCTTTTATTGGACTAACAAATACGTTTTCAGTTCTGAAACTTACAGGATATTCTTATAATATGATGACCTCTTAGATGTCAAAAGCTCAAGGAAAATTTGATTTCTCAGTTCATCTCCCCTTTAAGCTTTTTCCTCCAAAACGCTTAAAAGAGTAGTTCACTTTTAAAAAAAACTTTTGCTGATAATTTACTCACCCCCATGTCATCCAAGATGTCCACGTCTTTCTTTCTTCAGTGGAAAAGAAATGAAGGTTTTTGATGAAAACATTCCAGGATTTTTCTCCATATAATGGACTTCAATGGGAACCAACCATTTCAAGGTCCAAATGAGAGTTTCAGTGCAGCTTCAAAGGGCTTTAAACGACACCAGACGATGATTAAGGGTCTTATCTAGCGAAACGAGCGGACATTTAAAAATAAATAAAGTTTTATTTGCACAAATGCTCGCCTTCTATGTTCTGTGATGCACGTTCGTGACTCTCCTGTTCAACAAAATGAACAAATTTGAACAAATCAAAATGAACAAATCTTTTTTCGAGTCATTTCGTTTCAGTAGATAAGACCCTTATTCATCGTCTGGTGACGTTTAAAGCCTTTTGAAGCTGCACTGAAACTGTCTTTTGGACCTTGAACCGTTTGGTTCCCATTGAAGTCCATTATATGGAGAAAATTTCTTTTCGACTGAAGAAAGAAAGACATGGACATCTTGGATGACATGGGGGGGTGAGTAAATCATCAGCAAAAGTTTTTAAAAGTGAACTAATCCTTTAACGTGGCTTAATGTACTAACAAGAGAGAGGTGTTTACTGGGTTTGGTCTTTTAATATCACTGCCTTAGAACATTATTAACACACGTTATCGTATCAGAAACGTCACATAGGCTGCGGGTGTCGTGACATAATCACGTACATTGGGGGGAAAGTATTCATTTCTTTTGGAAAAAACAATTTTTTGGAAAAAAGTTTAGAATTAAACAGGTTGTTTTAGGTTACTGTATGTTTAACCCTAAAAAAAATCATTTATTTACGCTCATGTTGTTCCAAACCTGTATGAGTTGAACCCAAAAGAAGAAGTTGGCTGTCTGCTTACCAGAAGAAAGAAACTCATACAGGTTTGGAACAACATGAGGGTGAGTAAATGATGACAGAATTTAATTATCCCTTTAATTCATCGACAGATATATATGAATGACTAAAGGCTCTTCACATATTACATTTGTGTCAACACTTATAGTACTCACAGTAAGTCTGCTGTCAGATCCAATATTATTAAGCTGCAATATGATGTGTTTGTGTTTTTGTGCTCATCAGGCGTGGATCTAAGACAGGCCCAGGTGGTGGCGCTATCAACCGGCACTAAATGCATTAACGGAGAATATATCAGTGACCAGGGCCTGGTGGTCAACGACTGCCATGCCGAAATCACGACCAGACGAGCCCTGCTGCGGTTCCTGTACTCACAACTAGAGTTACACCTCAGGTAAAGGACACGCATGTAGAGGACTTATATCAAGTGTGCCGCACACATCCTGAAAAGCGAAGACGGAACATTTCGATCACCCCCAGAGCGGATGATGTGTTTTTCAAAGAGTCAAAAATAACATGAGGAATGAATAGAGAGCAGCATGATGTGTGTTCTGATACACATTGTTTTTCCTTAAAGTCCCTGTAAAGGCAAATCTACAAAACAATTATAAATGGATTGCTAAAACATATTACAAAGACTGTGAACTGTGAAGTACTGAAATACGGAGTTTTTCACCATTGCTATTTTATGGATCGTTTTATAAAATTTCCTCAGAGAATTCACTGATAATCCGCTGTTACTGGTGAACGGGGCTAAAACGACTATCTCCCGCCTCAGCGTTCATCCTCCCGTCCCGAAAGCAGTATCACCTAATATCACCGTTGACAGCTTTCCCGCTAGTGGGCGTGGTTTCAGCGCAGCCAGACGACACGCCCCCAGCGTTTGAGAGAATACTGCTCATTTTTTCAAGATTTTGATAGCTTATTTTATGTACTTGCCGGCTTTTTTATCATTCAAATTTGTCTGGGTGGCTAATATCACATTTTTCTGTGGTGTGACATACCTAATTTTGACTTTACAGGGACTTGAAAACAATGCTCAAAATAAAAACTCTGTGAAGATTACTTAAAGGTACAATATGCAGGATTTTTGCAGTATTGTAGTAGTTCATCCCATTGTCTTGTAAACAAGACATTTGCTTGCTTTCTCACAGATTCTCTTGTTATTTCCTGTGCTAATCAACAGCATGTCAGAGAGCTTGTTAAAGTCCCCGTGAAATCAAAATTGAACCTATTTACTTTGTTAGCGCATATTACTAGTCTTGTGGTGAACAATTAATCCGTGCAAGTGAATATATATTTAAAAAATGCTTTACCTTAGTAATCTTTAATCAAAATCTGAAAAGTTACTTCCGGTCTGGAACGGTTTCTTTTTCTGATGACGTAGGTTTCACAGTTTGGGTGGGGAAACGCGTAACCACTCCCCTCAAACCGTTAGTTTGCTATGGGCGAGAGATGGAGAGGAGGAGCGCTAGAGTAAAACCCTGCCCTCTGTTCAATATTCCGTTTCACTTGGAAATACGTCACGGCACTGGAGAAAAATCGTTTGCAACTTACGGTTCACGGGGACTTTAAGAATGCTTAGCACTTGTTGAATCTGACACATTTTCTCACAGAAACACATTTTACACCTAGAAAAGAACTTTTCCAATTTCGATTCTTGGTTCATAAAGAATCCGAGTTATCATTTCCGTCCGGTCTGGCGTTGGAGGAATCATTGTGCGGCGGTGGCGGAGACTTTAAATGTCTTCCTCGATGTGGCAGATTGCAGCACAGAAAAGCCTCCTGTAATGTCATATTTGCATACGCGTCGTCCCAGAGTGCATTATCTGCAGCTAAATGGGCCCGCTTGGCTGGGTCTGGAGTCTAGTTTGGAAGATAAGTCATTATGCTCGGCAAATAAAATAGCACGCAACGGCCATCAGCGTGTTCCTCAGTAGACAGATCTGGAGCAACACGACTCCCACCCTTGACATCGCGGGTCATTTGTGTAATTAGCACTGCTTAGGTGCCAATTAGAGACGATGATGTTTGCGCGTGTAATGCTCTCCCTGTGCACAGTTCACCTCGTGCACTATTCCGAAACGTCTTTTGTAAGATGTCACAGCGAGGCGCTAATGCTAATTATGATGATGTGTGTAAAAGCGGGGCGGCTCTGCTGGAAACGCCGTGTCCTCCCTGCAGCGGGCTAGCCACAGATCATCCGGGTTAAAGAATTACAGCACGCCGTTCTCTCTGCCATTTGTATTCGCCTTGTTCTGACAGAGTAATAGCGCGAGAGGGGAACGTGACAGTGACGGAGCTAGCCTTGGTCGCGGCAAGGCCAATATTTGTCTCCTTTGTGTCTTCTGCCCATTATTAGCCGGGAATGTGAGCGCTGAACACTTTCAGGCGTGGTTGTTTCTCATGTCTCCTGTCTTTCTTCTTTCTTCCCGCCTGGGGTCTGTGATCACTCTGAAGCAAAAGGAAAGAGGACTGGGAACAATCGATCTTCGTACGGCACAAAGACTCCTGTTTGAGACTGCGAGAGAATGTCCTCTTCCACATGTACATCAGCTCCTCACCCTGCGGGGACGCCCGCGTGAACTCGCCGTACGAAATCACATCTGAATGTAAGATCATCTGCTCGTCTGTGTCGTCTTGTGTGTTTAATCTTGTTAACCTTGTGTGTATCTGAGTGTCCAAATGCTTAACATGTGTCAAGGTTTCATGTGATTTCATGTGGTTTTGAAAAATTCAATCTCATGTTTTTTGCATCTTGAATGTTAGTGCAGACATAATCATTACTTTCAAAAAAGTTATTTGGTAACACTTTATTTTGATGGCCCACCTCTTGGTTTGGAACTTGTAGGAACATTAAACAAATATCCCCTCTGGTCATCTATTATATCTATCCATCCATCCAATCTTTTCAATTTTGATTTACATTGTAGATTTTAATATATGAAGTACACAATTTATTACAAAGATGACAGTTGTACTCCAAATGTCACGACATCCCATGTAATAGATGAAAAAAAAATGTAATCAAATATATACCTAATTTCAAAATTGACTAAACAAAGTAACACTGAAAAAAAAAGTAATAAATTAGATGTTGCATCCTCATAAATCTCAGAAATGCCTTAATTTTAAAATGCACTTCTTTACATTTATGTGAAAAGTAAAATGAAATGTACTTTCTCCCTCACAAATATCATATCAATTCATAAATATTCAAGTTTTTGGAGATGGTTCTCACTGCAGAACATGAAATCCACGGGGAGGAGTCGGATCCAGATCTTTACATATACCTAAACCTGACCAGCTCCTCCCCCTGATCCCTAAACCCACCCCTAAACCAACCCAGCTCCTCCCCCTGATCCCAAACCCACCCCTAAACCAACCCAGCTCCACCCCCTGACCCCTAAACCAACCCAGCTCCACCCCCTGATCCAAACCCACCCTAAACCAACCTAGCTCCACCCCTGATCCCTAAACCCACCCCTAAACCAACCCAGCTCCACCCCTGATCCTTAAACCCAGCCCTGAACCAACCCAGCTCCACCCCCTGATCCCTAAACCCACCCTCTAAACCAACCTAGCTCCACCCCTGATCCCTAAACCAACCCCGTTCCACCCCCTGACCCCTAAACCAACCTAGCTCCACCCCCTGATCCCTAAACCAACCCGTTCCACCCCCTGACCCCTAAACCAACCCCGTTCCACCCCTGATCCCAAACCCACCCTTAAACCAACCTAGCTCCACCCCCTAATCCCTAAACCCACCCTAAACCAACCCAACTCCACCCCCTGACCCTAAACCAACCCAGCTCCACCCCCTGATCCCAAACCCACCCCTAAACCAACCCAGCTCCACCCCCTCATCCTTAAACCCACCCCTAAACCAACCCAGCTCCACCCTGATCCCAAAACCCACCCCTGAACCAACCCAGCTCCACCCCCTCATCCCTAAACCCACCCCTAAACCAACCCAGCTCCACACCTTGATGCCTAAACCCCCCCCTGAACCAACCCAGCTCCACCCCCTGATCCCTAAACCCACCCTTAAACCAGCCTAGCTCCAGCCCCTGATCCCTTAATCCACCCCTAAACCAACCTAGCTCCACCCCCTGATCCCCAAACCCACCCCTAAACCAACCCAGCTCCACCCCTGATCCCTAAACCCACCCCTGAACCAACCTAGCTCCACCCCCTGATCCCTAAACCCACCCCCAAACCTACCCAACTCCACCTCTCAGATCTGGATCCGACTCCGCCCCCTGGATAGTGTGTACTGTAATTAGGTGCTACTGAATTTTTGGGAAGTTGTACCACATGATATTTTACAACCTGAACTAATATGATATTTTCCACTTGTGAACTGGTATTTACAAGTGTGTTGCATTCAAGTGCTTTTGTTGTGGTAATGTGGTAAACAGATTGAAGATCCAGACCTTTTATTTAGCTGAAACTATTTTAGATTGCTTAAGTCATCTGCTAAAAAAAAAAAAAGATTTATCAAAACTGAAATGGAAAATAATGTGCTGTATATTTTCTAGATCATGAATAGTACATATTTTTACCATTTGCTCTCCGCCATTTTGAAAAGGTCAAAGGTTATCTCATCTCGGCAACTCTTGCATCAAAATATTCTACGAGGTGCCCGGTGGAAAATACCACATGAGGGGGTGTTCATGAGTATTATCCGCGTCGGCTTTTGGTATTTACCATAATTACCACAGCACGTGAACGCACCATAACTTTGCCATGTCAAGTTATCAGATATTTTAAGAGACATTGGAAATATTGACCTCGACAGTGGATCTTTTCAGACGAAAGTTCAATTGTATGTGTGAATAGCACTCTTGTTTCCACAGTGCACAGCAATAGACACTTGGTGAAGAAGTTTCACAGCCACTTACGGACAAAGATTGAATCCGGGGAAGGGACACTGCCGGTGAAGTGCGCGGGTCCCGTTCAGACGTGGGACGGGGTCCTGCAAGGAGAACGGCTCATCACTATGTCCTGCACAGACAAGATTTCCAGGTCAGTATCAAAAAACATTCACTAAAACTTCTGTACAAAGAAAAGACATCCAATGAAAGGTCTGATCCCAGTCTAAGATGGTATGCTTAATATTTTTGGTAGAAACCATATATATATATATATTATTTGCTATGGAAAGTTCAAAATAACAACATTTATTTGAGATATAAATCTTTTGTAACATTCAATGTAACATTTTAAACTTGTGATCATTTAATAAACTCATTAAAGTATTAATAACTCTATAAGAAATGAATTGTAGTGTACATCTAAAAACTCATATTGGGAATGATCTTTTTCTGCCATTATTATGTGATGTATAAGCTAGCTCAAGTCAGAAATAGTCATTTGACAAAAATAAATAAATAAATAAATAAATAAATAAATAAATAAATTATTAGTGCCAAAATATTGTATTTAGCATGAAGTCCTGCAGTATAGATTTAGCCTCAGTGTCCAAGGTGATATTGTGCCATTTTAGAGCGATTCAACGAAGCAGGCCGGCCATCTCTGAAGCGTGATTGTGAAGCTCAAGTGCTGTGGTGTATTGATTTAAGATTTATTTTTATGAGAGGATTAGTTTTTATGAGGGCGAGTTAGTCTCATTTAAGCAGGGCGACTTTTATACAGCATTATAATGGCCGAGGGAAAGGTTGATGTGATATTTGCCTGGAGGAAGGGACTTATTCAAACCCATGCTCTGGGACTGGCGGGATCACCATTATTGTCTTATGACGAGCTGGGCCTTAATAATCCTTCAATAATTAGCTTCTGTATGGGATACGTCACAGTGTTAATCTGCACCTTTCCAGTATGGTGCCGCCCATACCCCCCATAAACAGCTTCAAACCCGTTGTCCATATTTTTTACAGTCTATGATATTTGCTAAGGCATTTCTACAAGAGGGTGTGATCACTCCAGTTTCAGACATTGTGTCACTTTCACTCCTATTTATCTATGACACTCTCTATGAATGTGGGAATCGCAATGCCCAGAGATAACTCACACACTCTCACCACGCGCACACACACACACACACACACACACCTGTGTTTGAGCTGACTTCCATATGTTTGATTTAATTATCACCGTCAGTTGGCTTCTGTTTGTTTACATGCACTTTGACAACCTGAGAAGTATGATTATGAACATTTCCGTTTATTTGAACTGTCTGTTAAACACACTTCTTGTAAGCTGAAGTCGTGTCTATTATCTGTTGATATCATGATTTTGGGGTAATATTCTCAACCCATACTTTTAAAGGACAACTCCGGTTAGCCTATAAAAACAGTTTAGCCTATAACGCTAGTATAATGCTAGCATATAGTAATGACAAATAAAAAATCGCTTGTTATTACCACTAAAAAGGCTCATAATAGCCCCACAATAACACGACAGCATAAAAAAGAGTCCCTACATTCAAACCGAAGCATTGAGAACTTTGTCAGTGTCCATACAGTTTAATAAGCAGATGTTTTATACACACAGTAAATTTCGCGAATTCAGGAAGAAGCCATCTTGGAAAAATAGTCTCTACCAGTCGATCTACGAACGCCGATCCAAGTGCACTGGTGAGATGTGAATAAGGTGATAAGGTGAGCGCGAACAGTAGGCTACGTGTACATATTGAAGACAAGTAAACGGTTTGTGTTTGTGTTTCTTCTGGAAACAACGGATCATATGAGATTCTGCACAGTTCAGTGCACTTGGATCGGCGTTCGTAGATCGACTGGTAGAGACTATTTTTCAAAGATGGCTTCTTCCTGTATTCGCGAAATTTACTGTGTGTATAAAATATCTTCTTATTAAACTGTTTGGACACTGACAAAGTTCTCAACGCTTCGGTTTGAATGTAGGGACCCTTGTTATGCTGTCGTTTTGGTGTGGGGCTATTTTGAGCCTTGTTAGTGGTAATAACAAGCGATTTTTATTTGTCATTACTCTATGCCCTATATACTAGCATTGAACTAGCGTTATAGGCTAAACTGTTTTTAGAGATAAAACTATTTACATTCGGCAATCATGAAAACAAATCTCAGATAACGGTTGACTAGGTAGCAATGTGTAATTAGACCAAAGGTTCGTTTTGCGCCGGAGTTGTACTTTAACTAAAATGATTAAAATAAGAAAATGTATTTTTGCATGTCACTAAGCACATTGTCCACCCACTTTATCATTTTACAAAAAAAAAAAAAAAAATGTTTGTAATTCCTCATTTTCTTAAAGGTAATTCTCATTAGATTCCCATCACTGTAGTACTGTATCACAATAAAAAAAAAAATGCTGTAATACAATGATTTAATGGTTTAATTCAGTATGAATTAAAGGCAGTACAACAAAACAGCAAAAAATATACATTTAAAATGCACATAATGCATGGGTTTTCATGATAGGAATTTTTGTTAACAGTAATGAGAATGTATGCAAATTTCCTGAATGTATTAAACTTAGAAAACCATCTATGATATTTATTTTTATAATCTTTTTTTTTAATTAAATTTTTTTTTTATGAGATTCATCCAAATAGAAATGCCTCTCAGACCATAGCAACAGTATCTAGGGGGTGGGGCTTAGCAGAGGCTAATTTCAATAACTGGTAAAATACACTTTTTTTTCTAGCAGGCTCTCCTTCATTTGCTCTTCCCTCATGAAACCCTAAAGTGTGAGTTGTAAACATGATTACAATAGAAGCAATGTGTGTATGTTAGTCTGGACACATCGACACAGACTCACACCAAGGTGAAGCTCTCTCCCCTGGGCCATTCATCTGACCAATCAGATTGCATCGGCCAGGACCACAAGGGTCTGACTCTATCTGGCTAGGTCATCGTACAGGGTTAAAGTAATTACTTTAAAAAAAACACACACAGAATAAGACAGAATAGAGCATCCAGATCTTTTTTCTGAGTGCCACTCCTTTTCCATTCTATATCCCGCTCTTTTGTTGAGCCTACAACTCAGAGGAGCCGTTCATCAAGGTCACCATCAAGAGCAGGCTGGAAAACAGGTTTAAAGTCCTTATAGTCCCTTATAGAGCAACTCCATTCATCTCCACTGCCCTCAACCAGCGCACCCTGTTTTTCATCCTTAGTCGCAGTCATTTTTCTCATCCCTTCGTCATTTTCCCTGACCTCACATCATTATCCTCCATCTCCCCCTCCCGCCACAGGAAAGCTGCGCCGTAATAATGGGACTCCACTGTAAAAAAAAAAATAAAATAAAATAAAAAAATTGTCTTAATGTATAATTTGTTTCCAGTTAATATTAATGTCATAAGATTATTAAGAATAAGAAATATATAATATTGTGGTATCAAATAATAACAATAAAATAAAGTAAAATATATTTTCTTATATCTTTAATGAAAACGTAAAAAAAATATAACTAATACAAATTAAATGTTAGATATATTGAGAACATAAATAATAAAATAATAATAAAATTAATAAAAAAAAGTGTCAGATTAGGCCCCACTGCAAAATTCTTTTTTAAATATATGTATTTTGTTTGCAGTAAATATTTATATAGCATAAGATAAATAATATAATATTTTATATGAAATAACAATAAAATAAAAAGTACTTTATTGTATTATATTTTATAGAAATGTAATAATAATAATAATGACAATAATACAATTAAAAATATTAAAATATTAGATGTATTAACAATATATATATATATATATATATATATATAATCAGACTGATGGGCGTGCACTCCAATTACATTCCAAAAAATAAATAAATAAATACTTTTTAATGTTTCCAGTAAATATTTATACAGCATAAGATATAAAATGAAAATAACAGAAATATTCCGAAATATTTAAAATAGCAGAAATATGTTTTATAAATTATAACCAATAATAGTACTAATAAAATTAATAAAAATGAAATATTAGATCTATTAAGAATATAAAATAAAATGAATTGATAGGCATAATGGGATGACAAATATATCAAATAATAAAATAAAATAAGGATAAGGATAAAAATAATGATTTTTTTTTTATTTTTTTTTATAACCGTGTATGTATAAGTTTAGGTGGCATTATTCCCCTGGTTATTTTTTTTTACCCTGGACTCGATACAGGGAGCTTCCTATTTTTCCAGAGTTATGATTGGTGTTATTATTGTCTGGAGGCAGTAAGGTATGCCAGGCTGATTGAGTGGAGTGAATGTTTAATTAAGTTGATGAGTGCCTTTATTGAAGGCATAAATGGCATGCCTGTGAATATGATCCGTCATATTCCATTTGAGTTTTATGTAGATGAACACATTATTTTAATGGTCCGCCGTTTTACAGCACTGGAGAGAGGGAGGGGAAGAGGAGGGAGATGATGGAGGGATGAGGGAGGTTAGGAGGAGGGTCTCCCGTTTGTGTTTCTGCAGCAGCCAGATGGCTTTTCTTCAATGAGAATTAAAAGATGTTTCTAATTCAAAGCGTTGCCTCCTGGGTAAATTAATATTGCAAGCCCAGTCATTTCTGTTTTGCTAGAATCTCAGACAGAATGAGAGAGAATGGAAAATAATTTTGCCTGGATACGCAGGAGATTTCACAAGCAGATTGTTGCTCAGGTAAACGGATTTGAGACGCTGGGCGGCAGCTCTTAAAGAGCGACCCGTGTTAATTGACTGCTTGGGAAAGCAAAAACTATAATGGCTTATTAGTCATGAACAGGGACGAGCAGAGAGAGAGAGAGAGGGCGCCTGCAATCATTACCGGCATGATAAAGAGACATTAATTAAGCAAAAGAACACTGATGTAAGAATTAGCTGCTTAAAATGATTGCGCTTTTCATAAATTCATTAGCTTACAGTCTGAGGTTAAAAACAAAATGTTTATTCAGTCTAGTGAGATTATGCATCAATTTAAAACTCAAATGTCCATTTTGTCATGTATCTGAGTCAATCAATCCTTCCATCCATCCATCCCACAAAATTGGTACAAACTGGCTGAAATCATAAGCTCCAATCTGATTGGCTGTTTTACTGTGCGTTCACACCGGACGCGGCTAGCGTGTCAAATTTGCGTCTACCGCGGCTAGTTTGACGTAAAAAACAAAAGTTTGAAGTCAGAATCGAAATTCGTTGGCGGCCATCTTTGACCAAGCATTCATCGAGAGAGTCGCCGCTCTGTATTTACTCTGGAGAGCAGAACATTGGCGTGTTAGGCGAACCGTTTGACGAGTTTCACCATTTGCTCGCTCCAGGACGGCCGCTGTCAGCGGTACTTCTGCCTGTCCCACGCTCAGTTTGATGACCTGTTATTGTCCTGCATCGGAGCGAAGATCCTCATTCACCTAATCTGTCATTTGTTTTGATGATAAATAGAGCCAGCCTCCAAAAGTTATTAACCTGTCCTGTGATTTTTTTTCTCTCTCTCTCACGTCCAGACACGAACTTATGCACATGTATGTTGGTTGTCTTTGTAGCAAGCAGCTAGGCTCCTGATTGGTTAACGCGGCGCGAATTGACACCAAAGTTCAGATTTTTCAGCTCGAATTCAGGCACGAATTCGCGTCAAACTCTCGAATGCACAAATTGCACTAAATCATTTGCATGCCAGACGGTCAATTCGCGCCATTTACGCGAACTTGACACGCAAATGAGACGTATTCGCATCTACCTTGCCACGCTTTACTCCTCATTCGCACCGCAGGAATTTTTACGCGCGTAACACATCTTTGAATTGGCTTAACATTGTAATTATTCGCGCTTGACGTGCTATTCACGTCTGGTGTGAACGCACCATTAACACAATTTTCGGGAATACGGGGTTGACTCAAAGGGCACTTATGAAGAATACATACCTAATACACCTTCTGATCAGGATTCTTCCTGTCTAAAGGTTTGGTCACATTTACTGTTGTTTGGCGAATATTAGCAAGAGAAATCATTTCAATAGAAATACACGTGATCTGGAATTTGGTTTGAGGGCGAAAGCTTTTTTTCCTGCAGATTTCGCAACGATTCAAGTCGTCCATGCTGATTTGCTGCATTGACGGTTTTAAAGTGACCCCCTCTGCACTCTCTATAGGTGGAATGTGCTCGGCCTGCAGGGGGCGCTGCTCAGTCATTTTGTGGAGCCGGTGTATCTGTACAGCCTGACGGTGGGCAGCCTGAGACACACGGGTCACTTCTCGAGGATGATGAACCACCGGATGGAAAGACTCGGCCCTCTGCCCACCTGCTACCGCCGAAACCAGCCTTTACTCAGCGGTACTTTCTTTTCTCTATTCATTAAATGTTAAATATCTGAGCAAAAGTATGTTTACGAACGTGTTTGTTTGGTCAGTTAGCATTATAAAATATGAATGTCCCTGCTAAAATGTAAAATGTCTACTTGCACCGCTCCAATCAGGAAACCAGCATCAACTGGCATGGGAGGTGGATGCTAAAGGTAAGAGTAATGGAGGCCAAGAAGTAAGAGCTGTGTTTGTAAACCTCTCTCCCATGACTCTTGTGCTCTTGTGACTCATGTCCACCTCCCATGCCGGTTGACTGTTTTACAAGTAAGTTAAGTAAGCCATCTCATGCCCACAGCTTTCAAAGTAGATGAGTGTGGATGAACCAGTTTGACAGATGCACAGTACAGCTTCTTTTTATACTCTTCCAGATGTCAGAGGTCAGCATGAGTCATGTCATTTACAGGACATTCATTCGGAAGGATAAAAATAGTGATGGATAAAGTTTAAAACATACCCTTTATTATTTCTCTCCATGAATTTGCCGACCTGAACACATTTCCCAAACAGGAACATAGTGTCAGCCCAGATCAGGCCAACATCTGGCACGCGTGGAATCCACATGTACCAGATGTGACCCGGATCTGGGCCGACACTATGTTACTGTCTGGGTTTTGTAGTCTTTCAAACACAAATTGCATAAATGTGGATACTCTCTGATCTCCTTATACTAATGCTCATCAATTTAGCTTTTTAAAAATGTTTTCCTCCTCCTGTATTGTATTGCTCTTTCCGCATTCTTCTAACTACTGCACAATACATCACGACTTTGCATGTGTAACATAGGCCAGTAAGAGCTGTGGATGTAAACCTCACTCCCCTGGCCTCAAGACACATTAGACATGTTCTTTAGTGTACTTGTTAGCACAACTGCCTCCCAAACTGGCGACTCCGGTTTGAATCCTGCCCCGAGCAGGTCTAGTAGGATCGGCTACATTTGGTGCCGTGACCCGGATGGGAGTGAGGTTTAGGGGGGTGGCTGTAACTGTAACCTCACTCCCCTGGCCTAAAGCAGCACGTTAGCTAGTGAATGACGCTAGAGGGTGTGGTCTTTAGCGTCTTTGTTAGCGCAGCCGCCTCCCACGTCGGTTCTATTCCCACTCAATTACACGTATTGCCACTTAGTAGACTCTGTTTCAATTCACCTTGCGATGCACTGTTGAACGCGCACTGCCTAAGCGAACACAAAAATTGGGCTGCACATCAGTACTGACCCTTCTGAAGGCGAAAATGATGTCACATGGACAGTCGCGAAACAAGGACGACAAAAGTATACTTTGGGCTTTACACTAGCAAGCCCAAGGTTATAGGTTTAATTCTAAGGGAACACGCATATCAATAAAATGTATGGCTTGAATGCACTGGTAAACCTCAGGCCTTGCCAATGCTCTAGCAGATGTGACCTTAAGCGCACAGAGGACACTCTGTCTCGCTCCATCACTTTGTTAAACTGCTCTCTTGAGCCTCAGTATGGCAGACGGACTGTTCTATTGGATCTACCCATCCTCCAAGTCAATCTCATCAAACACCTTATCACTTCAATTGAAGAGGAGAGAGATCCATTCACTTTTCCTCTCACGCCCAGTGGGCCGCATGTCTCCGGCACGGCCCTTTTCACCACCATTGATGAGCTCCTCTTCCTTTGTCTGGGCTCTCTTGTTGGGGAAAATGGACTGGTTATTTTAGGCATCGCCATCAAAAAGGGTGCAGAGTTCCCAAGAAGCGGCCGAGATCTCTTATCATACGGGAAGCAAATGTGATGCTGTCCTTAGTGGTCAAACCTGCTTCTAAACGCTCAGATGCTTTAGCACAGCAGATTAGGTATAATATCACAGGTAGTGTTTTAGCAGTATTCTAGTGTAAAATACTCAAAATTCATTAATGACAGTAAATCAGTAAATGAAGACAGCTTGAGGGAAAATAAAAATGAATTTAATGAAAAAACTTTTCCTGTGACTCATTATTTGTTTATTATTGACTCATTAATTAGTCATACTTATGCACAGAAGAGGTCATTAAAATGTGTTTTACTTAGTAGGCTGCATTTTAATATGCAAGTGTTAGATTAAAACTCCAAATAACAGTATGTTTACAAACAATGTTCTGTATAATGAATGTACAGAATATGAAGGTGCTAAAAGGTTAAGAAATATTCAAAAAAAAATACTCGTACATGAGATGAAAACTTTCTTAGTCTTCTAAGAAATATTTTTATTCGACATGGAGGTGGTTACCTCATGGACACCATGTTGCGATCACATGACCAGCTGTGTCACACAATTGAAAATCCATTCAGATTGAATCCATGAATATACATTTAAAAAGAAAAGGAACAAAAGATAGACTCATGCAGTTAGTAAACAAACTTAATGCATCCAGGCCAGCAGGTTTAAGTATAAAGTCCAAAACTACCGGGATGAAGAGCTAGCAAAGCAATAGACAAAGCACACTACTGTAGCTCAATCCCACCCGGAGCAGGTCTAGTAGGATCGGCTACATTTGGTGCCGTGACCCGGATGGGAGTTAGGTTTAGGGGGGTGGGTGTAACATAGGCCAAGAGTGCATGTAAACCTCACTCCCCTGGCCTAAAGCAGCGCATTAGCTAGTGAATGACACTAAAAGAGGGGTGCCCAACCCTGCTCCTGCCCATCTTCTGTCCTGCACAGTTTATCTCCAACCCTAATCAAACACACCTGAAGCAACCAATTAAGGTCTTCAGGATCACTTGAACAGTAAAGGCAGGTGTGTTTGATTAGGGTTGGATATGAACTGTGCAGGACAGTCGATCGGCAGGAGCAGGGTTGGGAACCCCTGCGCTAGAAGTTGTGGTCTGTAGCGTCCCTGTTAGCGCACCCGCCTCCCATAACGTCCCATAAAGTTACATAACTAGTTTAAGCAGCAAGACTTCTGCTTCACCAGCTAAATTGGCATTAAACCAGCATTAAACCAGATTAGACCAGCCAATGGACCAGACTGGAAACTCAAATTCATGTTGTAGTGGTGAAGGTGCCGTGTCTAAATGGTAACCTTCATACTGAGAAACTCTTACATCCTAACCTTTGACAGCAAAAATGAGATTGCAGGACTTAAGTGAGGATGTCCTTCAAATACGAGACACGCACTTTAGCACTTAAGAATAGCTTTATGTCAAATACAGAGCGATCACATTTAGTAGCATCTTGTGTGAAATACTCGGCATGATGGATAGACGACAACATTGTGACTGACAGTAAATGATGAAGCCTGCTCCAGGTAAAATACAAATTAAGTGCTCTATTATAGACAAATAGGGATAAACGGAATGAAGAGTGTGAAATGACACCGTGAAAGAGTGAGCGAGGTTCCAAGAAGCTCCGTTACGGCATTAAAGGATATGCACATTACTATAGCAGACCATTTAGTCCACCTCTTTGAAGTCCTGGATAGAGATTCTGAGATTTGCAGGAGGGTTGAAGGAATAGTTCATCTTAAAATTAAAATGCTATATGACTTACTTTCTAGTGTGGAAAACAAAAAGAGACACAATGCCCACAATTGCTCTTTTTCAGGATAGGAACTCCAGCAAATAATGCATCAGGTGTCCTTTTCCTCACACAATGTTATCAGATGGCTTCATAAGACTTTGAATATAGCGCAACAGTACTTTTCTCCAAAGTTTTGAAATGAGAATCAGTAAAAGAACTATCCCTTTAGGGGTAGCATGCTAGCATGTTTTGCTAAACATAAACACCAAATTTATTTGCAGTAAATATTAGCACAGCTGTCAAAATTCTCTCCTTTATCAATACTCTCCACAGATTAGCAAACATGCTACCGCATTAAAACATGTTACTCCATTGTGTTTCATGTAAATCATTCCAGAAGTCGTCAGTGCAGCTCATGGGCGCGCTATCATACTCTCCACTTTAAGGAAGAAAGAATGCCATGCTAATTGGTGCAGCGATGCGGCAATGATTGAGGAGCCCGAGAGATCCTTTGTGCCTGGAACCAGTGTTTACCTCAAAGATAGCACAGACGACACACAGACATGCTCGCTTGCTAATGAAACACTTCAGCAATCACATGCTAAATAGAACCTCCCTCGAGTGCTCTTGCTTTCTCTAAGTCTCGCACTCTTTTCTTGCATGCGCAGGCCTGAGCAACAGTGACTGCAGGCAGCAGGGGAAGTCCGTGTGTTACAGTGTCAACTGGACGGCAGGCGACACCCAGCTGGAGGTTCTCAACGCGTTTACTGGGAAGAGGAGGGACTCCGGGGCTCCGTCCAGACTCTGCAAGCATGCGCTTTTTGCACGCTGGATCAGACTCTATTGCAAGGTGAGCTCACCTTTGAATAAAAAGAGACTTTTTATTTAACACAACAGACATGATGTCAGCATCTTAAATTGTAAAGTGACATGAAGGCACACACACTAACTAGGTTCACAATTCATGACACACGCAGGCATTTGCATTCTAAGTGTTGCCACTAGGGGCACTATAGCAAGCATTTGCTTAAAGGGTTAGTTCACCCAAAATTGAAAATGATCCCATGAGTTACCATCCTCCACTTTTATAATGGATAGGTGCACTTTTATGATAGATGCACTTTTATGATGGATAGGTGCACTTTTATATTGGATAGGTGCACTTTTATAATGGATAAGTGCACTTTTATGATGGATAGGTGCACTTTTATGATGGATAGATGCACTTTTATGACGGATAGATGCACTTTTATGATGGATAGATGCACTTTTATGATGGATAGATGCACTTTTATGACGGATAGATGCACTTTTATAATGGATAGGTGCACTTTTATGATTGATAGATGCACTTTTATGATGGATAGGTGCACTTTTATGATGGATAGATACACTTTTATAATGGATAGGTGCACTTTTATGATGGATAGGTGCACTTGTATGATGGATAGGTGCACTTGTATGATGGATAGATGCACTTTTATGATGGATAGGTGCACTTGTATGATGGATAGATGCACTTTTATGATGGATAGATGCACTTTTATGACGGATAGATGCACTTTTATAATGGATAGGTGCACTTTTATGATGGATAGGTGCACTTTTATGATGGATAGGTGCACCTTTATGATGGATAGATGCACTTTTATGATGGATAGGTGCACTTTTATAATGGATAGATGCACTTTTATGATGGATAGGTGCACTTTTATGATGGATAGGTGCACTTTTATGATTGATAGATGCACTTTTATGATGGATAGATGCACTTTTATAATGGATAGATGCACTTTTATGATGATAGGTGTACTTTTATGATGGATAGATGCACTTTCGTCATGGATAGATGCACTTTTATGATGGATAGGTGCACTTTTATGATGGATAGATGCACTTTTATGATGGATAGGTGCACTTTTATGATGGATAGATGGACTTTTGTCATGGATAGATGCACTTTTATGATGGATAGATGTACTTTTATGATGCATAGGTGCAATTTTATGATGGATAGATGCACTTTTATGACGGATATATGCACTTTTATAATGGATAGATGCACTTTTATAATGGATAGGTGCACTTTTATGATGGATAGGTGCACTTTTATGATGGATAGGTGCACTTTTATGATGGATAGGTGCTCTTTTATGATGGATAGGTGCGCTTTTTATAATGGATAGATGCACTTTTATAATGAATAAATGCACTTTTATGATGGATAGGTACACTTTTATGATGGATAGTTACACTTTTATGATGGATAGGTGCACTTTTATGATGGATAGGTACACTTTTATGATGGATAGGTACACTTTTATGATGGATAGGTGCACTTTTATGATGGATAGGTGCACTTTCATGATGGATAGGTGCACTTTCATGATGGATTGGCACACTTTTATGATGGATAGGTGTACTTTTACGATGGATAGGTACACTTTTATGATGGATAGGTGCACTTTCATGATGGATTGGCACACTTTTATGATGGATAGGTACACTTTTATGATGGATAGGTGCACTTTCATGATGAATAGGTACACTTTTATGATGGATAGATGCACTTTTATGATGGATAGATGCACTTTTATGATGGCTAGATGCACTTTTATGATGGACAGATGCACTTTTATGATGGATAGATGCACTTTTATGATGGCTAGATGCACTTTTATGATGGATAGATGCACTTTTATAATGGATAGATGCACTTTTATAATGGATAGGTGCACTTTTATGATGGATAGATGCACTTTTATGATGGATAGATGCACTTTTATGATGGATAGGTGCACTTTTATAATGGATAGGTGCACTTTTATGATGGATAGGTGCACTTTTATAATGGATAGATGCACTTTTATGATGATAGGTGTACTTTTATGATGGATAGATGCACTTTCGTCATGGATAGATGCACTTTTATGATGGATAGGTGCACTTTTATAATGGATAGATGCACTTTTATGATGATAGGTGTACTTTTATGATGGATAGATGCACTTTCGTCATGGATAGATGCACTTTTATGATGGATAGGTGCACTTTTATAATGGATAGATGCACTTTTATGATGGATAGGTGCACTTTTATGATTGATAGATGCACTTTTATGATGGATAGATGCACTTTTATAATGGATAGATGCACTTTTATGATGATAGGTGTACTTTTATGATGGATAGATGCACTTTCGTCATGGATAGATGCACTTTTATGATGGATAGGTGCACTTTTATGATGGATAGATGGACTTTTGTCATGGATAGATGCACTTTTATGATGGATTGATGTACTTTTATGATGCATAGGTGCAATTTTATGATGGATAGATGCACTTTTATGACGGATATATGCACTTTTATAATGGATAGGTGCACTTTTATGATGGATAGGTGCACTTTTATGATGGATAGGTGCACTTTTATAATGGATAGATGCACTTTTATAATGAATAGATGCACTTTTATGATGGATAGGTGCACTTTTATGATGGATAGATGCACTTTTGTCATGGATAGATGCACTTTTATGATGGATAGGTGCACTTTTATGATGGATAGATGGACTTTTGTCATGGATAGATGCACTTTTATGATGGATAGATGCACTTTTATGATGGATAGGTTCACTTTTATGATGGATAGATGCAGTTTTATCATGGATAGGTGCACTTTTATGGACTTCAAAAAGAACAAGAAACAGAAACATATATAAGAAACACACATATATATATATATATAACTATGATTGTATTCGTCTGGAAGAAGAATATCATACACCTAGGATGACTTGAGGGTGAGTAAATCATGGGCTAATTTTCATTTTTGGGTGAACTATCCATTTCAATGTAGAAATAACCTGATTTCATAATTAAACGCCACTAGCTAACCTTAACATACCATACTCTAGTCAAAACGTTCAGCGTTAATCATTTTCCATACTACACGGCGTCTTGAAAAGTATGCAGTGTTCAGGACATACCGCACAGTATGCAGTACACTTGTATTTTATTACCAACATAGCCATAAATTTGGACTGAAACAGGAGTTGCAATAGTCTTTTCTTCCCTGTTGTGACGTATATCTGAGTGAACCGGCTCAACCTAGGAGCGGGACTTGATTTGATCCACCGGGAATTGATTACATCGTTGTCGTTTGTTAATTGCTGTGATCTCATGTGAGTGACAGGTTGCTGTTTGGGGAGGGATAATTATCCTGCCCTCGCGCCGGTACACACTCATCAGAGAAGCGATGGCAGTGGGAGAGGAAGGGGAAGTTAATGTTTACTTAAAAAAATAATGATGTGCACAGATATATCATTTACAATAAACACTGGAATATTCTATAAAAAAAATAACAACCGCCAATTTTGATTTCATAGTGACTTTTTATAGCCGCTTTTCCACCATAAGGTCGAATGGTTTTAAGAACGCTTGCAGTTATATTTCCATTTGACCTTGGTTCGGCGCGGCAAGATTACAAACCGTTGGCTAACGGTTGTTTACTTAGCTCAAATAGTGCGCTGGCAGCCAAGCAATAGACAGTAACCAATCCTGAGTGGTGACTTCACTACATGCATTCTCAGCACGGTTAGCCAACCATAACGCCATAACATCCTCCATAACGCGGTCGCTATTTACATCTCATATCGTCAGTACTCCTGTGTCACAAAGGTTATGAATGATGCATTTGTATTAAATTCCAAAGAGCTCCGTAATCAGCCTCACGGGGGGAAATGAAACCATATCCGTACCTACTGGCCTGCTGGGCCGGATCGGCACATAATGGACCGGTTAAGAAATGATAATGGTTTAGCTTGACAGTGGAGAAGTGGCTTTTAAGTCCCGTTCACACTCAAATCGATAAATTTGAAGTCGCTGTTCTGTTGGTTTGCATCCATTAGTAGTTGCATCATATCGCTGTTTTTAAAGGGATAGTTCACTTTGAAATTAATCTTTGGGATGTTTTAGCTTACCACTTTTATGATGGATAGGTTTTATGATGGAAAATGGAGGCTCTAGACCCTTCCAGAGCTGAGAAATCGAAACTCAAAAATTCGACCCGAAAAAAAAAAAACGACAGTGGTACCCCTTTCGTTTTTTTTTTTTTCGGGTGAAAAATGAAGTTTCTCCAATCTTCTCAAAAATCCGGATTCTGATAGAGCGCCATGAGCCATAAACCTGAGTTCAAAAATGGAGGCTTTAGACCCTTCCAGAGCTGAGATATCGAAACTCAAAAATTCGACCCGAAAAAAAAACGACAGTGGTACCCCTTTCGTTTTTTTTTTTTCGGGCGAAAAATGAAGTTTGTCCAATCTTCTCAAAACTCTGGATTCTGATAAAGGGCCATGAGACTTAAACCTGAGTGCAAAAATGGAGGCTCTAGACCCTTCCAGAGCTGAGATATCGAAACTCAAAAATTCGACCCGAAAAAAAAACGACAGTGGTACCCCTTTCGTTTTTTTTTTTTCTGGCGAAAAATGAAGTTTCTCCAATCTTCTCAAAACTCTGGATTCTGATAAAGGGCCATGAGACTTAAACCTGAGTGCAAAAATTGAGGCTCTAGACCCTCCCAGAGCTGAGATATCGAAGCTCAAAAATTCGACCCGAAAAAAAAACGACAGTGGTACCCCTTTCGTTTTTTTTTTTTTTCGGGCGAAAAATGAAGTTTCTCCAATCTTCTCAAAACTCTGGATTCTGATAGAGGGCCATGAGACTTAAACCTGAGTGCAAAAATGGAGGCTCTAGACCCTTCCAGAGCTGAGATATCGAAACTCAGGAATTCGACCCGAAAAAAAAAAAACGACAGTGTTACACCTTTTATTTTTTTTTTTCGGGCGAAA